GAAGCTATAGCAATATAAACAACAAGCCAAAACGAATTCATTTAGGCTAAAACAAAACTGAAACCAACATTGGTTCTCTCATTCGACACAAAATCAAATGTTTCCGTATTCGCGATGTATTTGAAAGGCAAATTATTATTTATTATGTAGCCTACTTCACTCGCGTTCCAATATCCACGTAAAACAAAATGTTTTGCATAACATCACGGCGGTATGGTGATAACACTTAACGGCACAGATTTTACTTCATATTTAAACTGAGCAGTGTGTTTTTTCCCCCATATGTTTGACTGACTATTTTATTATGATAATGAACAGGCTGCATTGTCAAGGTAGTAATGCTTAACTGTGTGCGCGCATGCGGCGCCGGCGCAATCAAAGCAAATCAATCAAGAGCGTAGATTGCTCAAGAGCAAGAGCAATCAATCACTTGAATTTTTTCCTTCTAACAGTGGAAACAACTACACCTTTTAGTTATAAAGATAATCGGAATTGTAAAAGGTTTGCCTTTGTTTGTGTACATTCACAATAAAAACAAATCCTTGTGCTTTTGTAAAATAAGCCTAAAGAAAAATAGGATGCCGCTTTCTGCCGTCTGGTTTCCTTTCGCGCAGCACAAAAATGAACCGAAACTCTGCATACTAGGCTACTTGTTACAGTTTTTCTTTCATTTTCTTAATTTATTATTTAAATAAAGATATATTTCTCGTATAGGCCTATTTATTTGTTTATATATAGCCTAGCTTTATTATGTTTTTCTCCGCTCGCAGCAGCACTGCAGGTGCGTGATGTGATATGATGACCATGTGAATCCTCATGTTCTGTTTTTAAAGATTTAAGGTTAACGGTTAATAATCGTTTAATGAGCGTCGGTTGTCGGTTAGGAAAAATAACCGAAATGAACATCCCTAGCTGGGACAAGCATTTCCCTTCTGGTGCTGTGTGTGTGTGTGTGTGTGGTTTTGCTGCTTCTCTCTCTTCTGAAATGAAGTCCTGATCAGCTCAAGGCCTCCATCTGCTTCTGCTTAAGCTGCACTTTACCTTTCTTCTCTTCTGCCATACAAGGAAAACACTCTGATACCGGAGAACCACTAGAACTCGCAGAACCATACGGAACATTCCACGGGATCATCTCGCTCCAGTGTGGCGCCAATGTAGCAGTGCATCGCTGGAAAATTCAACTCCATCTGTGCATCAGTGCCTCAAAAACCTAGTGAGCTGCCTACCTAGACATCAGTAATCAATGGACAAAAATCATGGACAGAAACGGCTTCCTAGGTATCATAGGTGCATTTAAACGTGCAAATGAAATTGCAAAAAGGTGTCTAGGTGGGAAACTCAGTAAGGTTTGAGACGTAAAACTTGCTTGTCAGTAGGGTGTACATTTATTAACATTTTGGTCAGAACATCTGCACTAGGGTTTGAGACACAGCCTTTGCGTGACAATATTGGGTTAATTCTGAACCAAAGTGTTCATGCTCATTTGCATTTTTAATTAGCACTTCTCGTGTGAAGACGTTAGATGCGCTGGGAGGGATTTCCCATGCGTCACCGCGCTGACCCTAGCAATAAGAGCGATGAGATGGTGGAAGTGTAATTTTCACCTGACAAAAGCGCCTGTTAGAAGTGTTATGGGGCAAAGCAGAATTTGCATAGTGCAATTAGATGCAGTTTCCTTTAAAACGCTGCTCAACAGCTGGAATTCTCAATGTTTTTTTTTTTCCTCGGTAAGCTTGAGGATTTCAGCGTTCGTATTTAATCTTACAAGGCCTATGTGGGTAAATATGAATTGTGTACGGGCAACAGGCTGGGCCTCTTGTCTCTGGAAGGATTTGAATGTTTATCGCATAAAGCAGGAAAGATTTAGGGCACATGAGCACAGCTTCAGAATGCCAGAGCAGGCCTGTGCCGGACTTTATTAGACTGGCTTTCTGAGATCCTGAGATCTTACCTTTTTAAATTGGCTGTCAAAATCACAAAGCCCATCATCGCAAACAGCTATGAATTCCTAAGCAATGTGCAATTTATCAGAAGAGAACTGGGCTGAATACAATGAATATATTTGCTTTCTCCATTTCAGTTAACCTACCTCCCTCATCTCTCTTTCTCACACACACTTTTTGTTCTGTTTCTTTGCTCTTACTTTTCATCTGTGATGACCAAAATGCCTAATTTTTTTAAGGTTAATGGTTCCCGCTATACAAACAATAGTTATTTTGAGTAATTTAGCACTCTGTATCACCAAATTACCATTAGGCTCTGCATGTTTATCAGAGTATGTGAGCGGAGTGGAGCGGCAACAATTTCCCCTCCGCGCTCCAAGCATTCAATAATCACTCCGCTCCAGCTCCACTCCGGTTCACCATTTCCCGCTCCACTCCTCGCTCCACTGATCAGAAACATCGCTCCGCGGCTAAATTATTTCACTATGCTTGAAAAATCAAAGTTCTGTTCAGAAATTATATTAAACGAAAAATAAATGCATAATACTAGAAGAATAGTTTTAACATGGTTTATTGGAACACTACAATTAGCCCAAGTCCATATTAAATGACTGCTTAACTCGCTTAGCTTAGCTTGTCTGTGCAACGTCTCTACTATGGCGAAGCTGAGGGTAGCTCCGCTCCCGCTCCGCTCCGCTCACATACTCTGATGTTTATAAGCATTCACAAGCCATTTTACTTCTGTAATGTGACGTATTTCTGAGTGAAATTATAATAAATGAGGAAAGATGTAGGATGGGACTTGATTTTGATGATTAGCTAATGAAAAATGTTAATTATATCACAGGTGATTAAAAGCAGGGGCTAGAAACAAAGGCAGAGCAAAGTTTTTATTTAATGAAAGATTATGAAGACAAACATTTTTTTCTAGGCAGTGATAAATCATTCACAATAAGACCAGAAACAGATAGTAAGAACATATTTTTGGATAGATTTTCAAGGTACAGTACAGCATTGTTCAAAGATCTTGTGTGATGTGTCTGTTGAAACCCGCACAGGTTATTTTGCTTGAACATTTAATTTCTCAACAAAATCAGGCCAATAACCACCAGACAGATGCAAAGACATTAAAAAGGGATTTTGCCTCTGAAATATGTTTTATGATGGTTGAAACTTTATACGTTCCCCTAGAGCTTTGTGTATAAAGAGATGATGATATTGTGGTGGTGGTGTGGAATTAGATTGCCAACATCTTGCTTCAGCCAAACAATATCTCGAGAGGCTTTGAGGCAATAAGAGGAATGATTAGTAAAATCTGATTGTTGTAAAAAAAAAAGAAAAGAAAAGAAAAGAAAAACGTGTACCTAAACATTATGAATAGCCAAACTTTGTGTTCCTGGAACATATGGGTCTAAAAGTGTTTTGTATGACAGTTGGATAGATATCAGCCTTTAGTGAGAGTTTGAGAATGATAACCATAACCTGTAGGCCATCACAGTGATGGAACTTGTTTCTTTGAAGCAAACACAACCGTAAGGTTCAGCTCTGTTTGAGTTATAGCGCCTGGATTTATTGTTTTCTGATTAATTTTTTTTGTCTGGTTTAGCTTTGGTACCTCAGAAAGGGGCGTATGAATAGAGTGAGTCATACCGTTCAAAGGCCAACAGAAACTATTGGGAGGCTGTTGCGTGTGGCCTTGTGTTTGTGTATCTGTATATAGGTCTATCTCTTTTTCCATTAAACCAATAGGTTATTCTCATTTTTATGCCTCTGTTTTATTTTTCAGGACACTCCGAGATCCAGAAGTCATAAGAGGTGAGTCTGACTGCATCTAATATCTGTCAACGGGTAAGATATGTCTTTTCAGCACTGCATTGCGCAGAGGGAGATCAAGGGATTAAACCGTTTTAGCCGTTGACCGCAACTCTGGACCATTCGCTCATCTGGCTTCTGTCAGATGTAAAAAGTATTCTCCTGGCTTGGAAATTTGCCTTAGCAAAACTGCTGAAAAAGAAGTGTCTTGTCAGAAGAAAGGGATTTAAAGCCTGTGAAACGACAACATGGCTTAACTGGACTCATTTTCAGAGCCACTGTAAGAACACCAGTTGCTTTCATTCTCTCAGTTGGCAGCAAAGTCAGGCCTGAATTTGTTTCCATTTGAATGATACAAGTGGACTGTTTGTATCCAGCTGAGCATACAAAATTAAGAGAAAAGTTCTTGCAAACCCAAACACTGAGTGACTTTGACAAAGAAATATCCAGCATGACCCTGTGTCACCTCTCATGTAAACACTTCCTGCCCGTGATGTGTCTGTTGAAACCCGCACAGGTTATTTTGCTTGAACATTTAATTTCTCAACAAAATCAGGCCAATAACCACCAGACAGATGCAAAGACATTAAAAAGGGATTTTGCCTCTGAAATATGTTTTATGATGGTTGAAACTTTATACGTTCCCCTAGAGCTTTGTGTATAAAGAGATGATGATATTGTGGTGGTGGTGTGGAATTAGATTGCCAACATCTTGCTTCAGCCAAACAATATCTCGAGAGGCTTTGAGGCAATAAGAGGAATGATTAGTAAAATCTGATTGTTGTAAAAAAAAAAGAAAAGAAAAGAAAAGAAAAACGTGTACCTAAACATTATGAATAGCCAAACTTTGTGTTCCTGGAACATATGGGTCTAAAAGTGTTTTGTATGACAGTTGGATAGATATCAGCCTTTAGTGAGAGTTTGAGAATGATAACCATAACCTGTAGGCCATCACAGTGATGGAACTTTTTTCTTTGAAGAAAACACAACCGTAAGGTTCAGCTCTGTTTGAGTTATAGCGCCTTTATTTATTGTTTTCTGATTAATTTTTTTTGTCTGGTTTAGCTTTGGTACCTCAGAAAGGGGCGTATGAATAGAGTGAGTCATACCGTTCAAAGGCCAACAGAAACTATTGGGAGGCTGTTGCGTGTGGCCTTGTGTTTGTGTATCTGTATATAGGTCTATCTCTTTTTCCATTAAACCAATAGGTTATTCTCATTTTTATGCCTCTGTTTTATTTTTCAGGACACTCCGAGATCCAGAAGTCATAAGAGGTGAGTCTGACTGCATCTAATATCTGTCAACGGGTAAGATATGTCTTTTCAGCACTGCATTGCGCAGAGGGAGATCAAGGGATTAAACCGTTTTAGCCGTTGACCGCAACTCTGGACCATTCGCTCATCTGGCTTCTGTCAGATGTAAAAAGTATTCTCCTGGCTTGGAAATTTGCCTTAGCAAAACTGCTGAAAAAGAAGTGTCTTGTCAGAAGAAAGGGATTTAAAGCCTGTGAAACGACAACATGGCTTAACTGGACTCATTTTCAGAGCCACTGTAAGAACACCAGTTGCTTTCATTCTCTCAGTTGGCAGCAAAGTCAGGCCTGAATTTGTTTCCATTTGAATGATACAAGTGGACTGTTTGTATCCAGCTGAGCATACAAAATTAAGAGAAAAGTTCTAGGAAGTTTTAACTTAAAACTCACTGCAAACCCAAACACTGAGTGACTTTGACAAAGAAATATCCAGCATGACCCTGTGTCACCTCTCATGTAAACACTTCCTGCCCCAACAATGGCAATTTTTCTTAAACATTTCCAAATGTCACATTCAATTTTTTATACAGGTTGCAGCAGTTGAGTTGAGATTCACGCACCAATTGTTCTTTTGAACTGATTCTTAAAATGCATAAGTAATTAATTCAACTGTAAGGGATAAATTTAAAAGTAAATATGTGAGGTAAATAGTGGTATTATCTGTATTTAAAGGAATAGTTCACCCAAAAATGAAAATTCTGTAATTAATTACTCACCCTCATGTCGTTCCAAACCCGTAAGATGTTTATCTTCGGAACACAAATTAAGAAATTTTTGATGAAATCTGAGAGTTTTCTGACCATGCATAGACAGCAATGGAACTGACACGTTCAAGGCCCAAAAACGTAGTAAGGACATCGTCCATGTGACATCAGGGGTTCAACCTTAATTTTATGAAGCTACGAGAATATTTTTCATCCTGCAGCGCTTGTGCTGCACACATGAATGGTTTCTCAAATGGTGCACCTCATGAAGAGCAACTAGAGGTTTGATTTTTCACATGGCAGATGATCAGTGTACAGTTTTTTTTATGTGGGAACCCTAACCATGTCTAGTGACCAGAATATCATGGTGGACTCTAGTAACAGCAAAACAACCACCCACCCATAACATGCTAGCAATGGCATAACAAGATGCTAACAACCACTCAGAACACCTCAACATCCTGGCAGCTGGATGTCACATAGAAGTGTAAAAATCCATCCACACATTTAAACTAGTTCATTCAAATGAACAAACCGATTCACTAAAATGAATCAGACCTCCCTGTTTACAATGGCTTGGACTCATTTTGCACAGAAAGTGCCAGTGCATTGTGGATCCAGGGTGATGCAGACAAAAGCCCATCTGAAGCTCAGTCTGGCCGTTTGATTAGTCGCCCATCTTTCTGCCCTGATACTTGCACTCCAACACGCTGGGCTCTGCCACAGCCGGCATGACAGGTGGACAGCAGAACCGGCAGCAGAAACTGCAACGAACACGCTCACAATGCATCTGAACAAAAGGAGGAGCTAGCCATAAACATTAAATTAATGATGTTCCGTTGCAGATAATTAGTGTTTCGGAGACAAGTAAAATATGTCTAATGGTTATTTGAGTCCTAACCAAAAGTTTATTCTTGAGGAATGAACACAAAATTAATTAAATCTGCGGCCAGCTAGTATGGCCAACATATTTAGAGATGACTTCTGGCCCTCTCTCTCTCTCATACACACAAAGCCCCCTGTCGGGTTTCCAGGAGCAGATCATTACCTCTGCCTCCTCCTGTTTCCTCTCCACAGGGAACTAATGCAACAGAGTGGCGGTTACATTCCCAGGACATGAACATTCAGATTGGACATCTGCTCCGTTCTCCGAGTCGATCAGATTCAGACTACACTATACTGATAGAGCCACGGCGAAATACATCACACACCTCATCTGGACGCAATACTGGACCTTTTCCTTTAGGGTTTCCTTTATTACTATTATTTCTGTCGTCTTCAGTGTTGAATAACAATAGATGCGTCGTCTTTGAAAAATATCAGGGCAAATGCATTTTTTTTGAAACTACAGTTTCACATTTTCTGAAGACAATTACTCGTCGCTACTATGCTAGATTGTTGCCAGAGCATTGCTAGGTGGTTTCTTTGCCATCAAGATAAACTAGTTTCACATTTTCTGAAGACAATTACTCGTCGCTACTATGCTAGATTGTTGCCAGAGCATTGCTAGGTGGTTTCTTTGCCATCAAGAAGATGAAGAAGAAGTAAAAGGAGCCCACCCTAAAGGTCCTTAGACATGGCTCAGATCCATAATTATAATGTACTAGGAAAGTTCAATCACTTCAAAGAAAGCACACAATTTGAGATACCGTTCATGTCCATACCACAAATTTGTGGGAAGAGTTACTCTTCGGGTTTTCTTCAGATCTCTAACCCTAAGAATGAGCAATAATAATATTAATAATGATGCTGGTCTTAGCTAAATAGTTTGGGTCCATGAGCATTAGGCTGGTCGGTTGCACATCGGCTCCATTCTGTACGTTTGACCTGAATCTCCTCATTAGATGAAGCACTTCACCGTACCTCCTCATTAGCTGGAGGATTAGAACGGCCGTCTGTCAAAAGAGAGACACTCTGGGAATAACCGCGGAGAACATTTGAGCTGGCAAATGGTTTTTCAGCACCCGAGCGATCATCGCCCAACCAGGCCTCTGTGGATGATAATGTTATGTGGGCTAGAGCTCCCTTCAGCCCGTCTGTGGTTAGAAAATGTAAAAACCTTTAGAAGAGAGAGGCGATTGAAGCTAGTTTCAGCCAGAGCAGGATATTCCTGCGGTGCCAGTGTCGCGTTTGTCACTTTCACAGCTGATTTCACAGCAATTTCAAGAACATTTCTGAATTCTGTTTTTGGTAGCTGTGAAATGTAAATGTTTGAAATGTAAAATGACAAGTTGTTTTGACTAGGGCTCTGTCCTCTTTCAAATTGAGAGTGGCTGCAAACGCACACTGTAGATCTTAACGCATGCTTCAAAACAACATGAAACTGCATTTAGCTTCTGTTTTGTCTCTCCAACTGAATTACACACAGATGAAGCATTAATTATGCATAATGCACATTGTCTGTTTATTCCACACGTAATTCTGACTAAAGGACTAAAGAAATGAATTATATTAATTATTATTTCATAAAACAAGAAATTGATATGTCACAATCTGTAAAGCTGCTGTGAAACAATGTGTATTGTGAAAAGCACTATACTAATAAACCTGACTTTACTTGACTTCAGTAACTCTTAAGTGCTGTAGGAATTTCCCTGAAGAAACTGTGAAGTCACTATGAGATCAGGGACATTTATTATGAAAATAAATAGACTAGGTTTTGATTTCATGATCTCCTTTAAGAGATGTATCCTGATGATTCTCTGGATGAGACTAGCTTTCTATATTCTGTTTTTCAACAGAATTTTAGATATTTTGTTTAAGGCATATCATTTCCACACCATCAACGTCACCAATTGGAAGCGGAAAAGTTCAGGTTTACAGCTTATTCTCAGTCCTTCGTTGATTGAGCGCCCCATTCTCACACCATCGTTTGAGTCAGTGTATCTAACTTTTGATACACATGAAATCTTTAACATTACATACAATTTCAGGGAGCATGGAAAATACAGGGAGTTCATAAATCTGCAAATCCTCGGGCAGGTGAGAAAAAAAGACCACACACACGAGCCTTTCTCTGATTCGTTGCCAGTTCTTTTCTTCCCGCTTTTGTGGAATGTACAGACAGGCCTAGCTCGGAACAACACTCTGAAGCGAAAAGAAGGCCCAATAATTTGATTCCCGGGAAAGGGTTATCAGCCGAATGAGTGAAATATTATGAAGGAATCCTCTCCAAGTCTTCCACATATGTAATTACTGAAATTAAGCTGGTTAAAATAAGTTCCACATGAATATTCCCAGAGCGTCTGGCCTAAGCAAAGAGCGAGAAAGATGGGGAGAGTGAAACAAATGGGAAAAGACAGATATTCTTCCCCAACCCCACTCCCCCCTTTTTTGACTAGCTGCACAGCGATGTCCCAAGGCACAGTCCTGTAAGAAGCAGGTCTGTTCTCCTCGCTAATGAAAGCGCATTGCTCTAATGCCTTCTACTGTGCCATAAAAAGGCTTTTCATACTCTGATAATTTACTACTTGAGTTTTCTTATTTCCGCTCCTACGAAATAAATGACACACTTTCCAAGCCATTATGTTGGAAAAAGGTTGAAGTCTCGTTTGAAGGGAGAAAAATGTGTGAAAAGATGTTTTAGCGAGGCATCTTTTGTAACCAGAACACAGAGTGAAAAAGCGTGCACCTGTTTTTATTTTTTTTTATTTAAGCTTTTAAGGAGACGTCTCCATTAGAGGTGCGTGGCACCGCCAGCTGTGAGTCACGAACTAGGCACACTGTTCGAAAATGTTTTTCAGTGTTAATAAGCATGACAACTTTTAGTTTGTTGTGTGCTGTATTTGATATGTTCAAAGGGAAGGTAATATGTAGGCCTATTCATTTAGATGCTCCATCTAAAATATATATAACAAGTTGTTTGCCATTAGAAATGGATTTTAACTCAAAAAATGTATTTTTTTTTTGGTGTGCGCAGCGACGAAGACGGAAACAGACATCGCCATCGACACGGAAGGGAAGGCAGCGGAGCTGCGCTCACATCCCAGGAGAGAAGGATAGAGGAGCTAGAAAGGGTACGTTTCTGTGCATTTACCATCAAGATAGAGCAGCCTGTCCTACCTACAGCTTTTTACACAGGTCCTGTCCCAAACAACACATTTGACCTGAACTTTTTGATCTCGTAGACTTACCTCGTACCCATCGAGTCAAATTTTTGCCTCAATCTGCACACATACTCAATCGGCATTGCCTTTCGCCTGAGGCAGAAATGTCAACATTTCATCCAGTTTCCGATGGCTTTCTGCTATCTTTTGGTCGACACCAAATGACCGGTGCCGTTTCCAAGACAGCGGTCTCGTAGCACCCAAACGAGCGACTTTACAAGCGCATGTGTCCAGAAGCGTTATCTGTCATACTTATTTTCATTTCCCCTTCGATAACTACTTTAATTTGCGTACGGAGATGGAAATGTCAATATAACTGCTATTAACATGTCGATTAATTAGAAGTGACAATTTATAGGCGGCTCGCACACACTCTTTAGAGCATTTTACTTGGGCTTACCTCAAATCAGGGTTTCTATGGGTTTTCCATTTCCAAATTCCATATTATTCCAGAATTGTCTGTAGATTTAGCAGTGAATATTTAACATGGTTTTAATATAGGCCAGTGGTCTCAATCAGTACACTTGCATGATGTTTTTATGAATTAATTGATAGTTAATGTAGACCTACAGCCAGGTTCATATATATATTTGGACGCTGACACAGTTTTCATAATTTTGGCTCTGTATGCCACCAGAACAGAATGAAAAATAAAACAATCATGATAAAATTGATGTGCAGACTTTAAGCTTTAATTCAAGGGGTTGAACAAAAATATAATATAAAATGCATAGGAATGACAACCATTTGTATACACAGTCCCCCCATTTTCAGAGGTTCAAATGTAATTGGACAAATAAATATAATCATAAATAAAATTTTCATTTGTAATATTTTGTTGAGAATCCTTTGCAGGCAATGACTGCCTCAAGTCTGGATCTCATGGATATCACCAGAGACTGGGTTTGCTTTGCCAGGCCTTTACTGCAGCTGACTTCAGTTATTGTTTGTGTTATCTTTCTGCCTGTAGTTTTGTCTTCAGCAAGTGAAATGCATGCTCAATCGGGTTGAGATCAGGAGATTGACTTGGCCATTGCACAATATCCACTTTCTTACCTTCAAAAACTCCTGGGTTGCTTTTGCTGTATGTTTTGGGTCATCGCCCATTTGTACTATCAAGCGCCGCCCAATCAACTTTGCTGCATTTGACTGAATCTGGGCGGAGAGTATATCCCTGCCTCTGTCACGTCATCACTAAACATCAGTAACCCAGTGCCACTGGAAGCCATGTACGCTCGTGCCATGACACATGATGTTGTATGCTTTGGATCATGAGCCGTTCCAAGCCTTCACCATACTTTTTTCTTCCCGTCATTCTGGTACAGGTAGATCTTAATTTGAGCCATCCAAAGAATGCTTTTCCAGAAGTGGTCTGGCTTTTTTAGATGTTTTTTGGCAAAGTCTAATCTGGCCTTGTTTGCACCTTGTGGTGAACCCTCTGTATTTGCTCTCGTGAAGTCTTCTCTTGATTGTAGACTTTGACAGTGGCACGTCTACCTCCTGGAGAGTGTTCTTCTCTTGGCTGGATGTTGTGAAAGGGTTTTTGTTTACCATGGAGAGGATTCTCTGATCATCCACTGTTTCCCTCTGTGGATGTCCAAGGCTTTTTATGTTGCTGAGCTCACCAGTGCGTTCTTTTTTTCTCAGAATGTACCAAACTGTTGATTCGGCCACTCCTAATGTTCCTGCTACCTCTCTGATGGTTTTGTTTTGTTTTTGAAGCCTAACAATTAGCCTTTTTCACACTTCCGTGTTTCTGGCTTCCGGACTGGCGCTTGCAGGGTAAACGTTTTTCTGGTGACAACTGCGGCTGTACTTAACAAGAATGAGTTCAAAGTCTTTTTTTACAAATTAGATATTATGAAAATGCTTGAACTGCTGGTACTTTACTCTACAAAGCGCAAACATCAGCTCGGGTCATCACAAATGCAAGTTTGTTTAAATCTAAATGGTGGCAATTATAATTCAGTTAGTTTTGCCGGTTCTGTCCGTTTGGTGCTGGCTGTGCATTATGACTCTCCACGTGATTTTTTCCCCCGCTATTATTATTATTATTAAAGTAATATTGTATTTTCTACTTGCTCTTCTTTGCATTATTAACGTGATGGCATAAATGTACGTTGTATAATCTGCCCTGGCAAATACATATTAAACAAGCGATGACTCGGGTTCATGGCTTTGTTCCTATTCTATCGGGATTACGTTATTGTGTTGAGTTTAATATGCTTCAACCGGGCTGAGAATTGTTTAATGTATTCTTGGAAAAATGTGCATCTGGACATAAATGTTTATGTAATTTATCATGATGTGGTAATTCGAGGGAAATGACTGAGTAAATTGAGATAATACGCTCAAATGTACCGGCACTATCAAAGACTATATTAAAAAGGGATGTCTGAGATGGAGAATAGAAACCATCCGGCGCTATGTTGAGCGTATTATCTCACGAGTCAGCAGTCTGAGTGGCCATATAAGTTACAAACAAGTAAAATTATATTTCTTTATAGATTATATAACAACAACTTAGAAAACAGACCAAACAGAAAAGGTAAGAAGCATTATTTGAGAAAAGGGCATACTAATATAATAGGCGCAGACCTGTAACGGAACTAACTTTACCCTGCGCTGACGTAATTTCCGATTTTTGTGAAAAAGGCTAATTGTCTGTTTCACTTGTATGGAGAGCTCCTTTGACCGTACGATGTGGGTTCACAGCAACAGCTTCCAAATGCAAATAGCACACTTAGAATCAACTCCAAACCTTTTACCTGCTTGATTGATGTAGAAATAACGAAAGAATAGGCTATGCCTGTCCATGAAACAGCTTTTGAGTGAATTGTCCAATTACTTATGGTCCCTTGAAAAAGGGGGAGGTACATATTAAAGCGCTGTAATTCCTTAACCTTTCCTCCAATTTTGATGAGAATACCTTCAAATGAAAGCTCAGACTGTGCACTTTAAGCCCATCTTATATAACTGTAACTTGAATATGTTTTGGTCAGCAGCTAAAATAATCAAAATTGTGCCTGTGTCCAAATATATATGGACCTGACTGTATATGACCTTTACAAGGGTATCAGTTAAAGAGTAGTTATTAAAATACTGCAGTTAAGTGGACCCAGTAAACCTGGTAAAAGTAGGCCTTTATAGCAGCAGATTGGCACAGAAGGTGCCAAACAGCGTAGTATCCAAAGAGGCAAAAACGTAGCATTATGTAAAATGTTTTTTTTTGTTGCTTTTTTTGGTCTTGAATTAGCAGACAGTGCTTTAAATGAAGTGAGCTGGTGATGACAGAAAGGTTTTGGCTAAAGCAATAAAAATGCAATAAAATGAAGCATAAAAAATGACATGGATCTTGCACATTGCATGCATTTCAGCAGTATTGGCATGTTTGTCACACAGAGCATCCCATTAAGCAGCGTCGTAATTAAAAGCATCTGCGTCGGACGTAAGCACACTGCTATATTTGCACTTGTTTACACCGCTAATGGACATTACTCATCCTCTAACCTCTCACGCTATTTACTAAGGCATCTTGCAGACTGCGGTTACGTCTTCCGTTGAGTTTGCAGGTGTTTTGCTTTCCAGAAAGCTTTTTTTCCCCCCTTCTTTTGGCCTTCCCCAAACAGCCACGTCTCACGTAGGCGGCAACTAAACAGGAATGATTATCAAACAACCATGTTGCTATCTTGCAGCAATCAGCTCCATATTGTAAAAGCGCTCAGCGGCTTAGCGGAAGATTACAATTATCCTCTGCTTTAGGGTAACAAATGCTCTCAGGTCTCAGTGCATTTCCAGTAGTAAGTGTTTATGTGAGGTGACTGCTGCTCAATTGTGCCCGATTGGATATTTGATCAACATTATAGAGACACTGTGTCCTTTAGGTGTAGATCCAAAGGGACTGACTCTCCTTGTTTTATGTGTTTGTGTTATTCTGAACCAGAGCTAGAAAGTATGAGCGTTTGAAGCTGAAGGCCAATCATCGCGGAGCATGAAAGAGGCCGGACTCTTTGAACATGCAATTGGCCCATGCAGGGTACAAAGCATAGGCAAAGCACGTAGTGCTTATGAGAATTAAAAGTTGACGTGCTGGTTGATGAAGGGTTATGTTTATGTTACGAGATGAGTGCATAGTAGCTTGAAAGATGATGCAGTCCAACTGTATAAGGTAGCTTGTAAGCAAGGATGTGTTTTTTTCCCAGCACTGTTTGTTGCCTGTAGTCATGTGGAGCTGTAATTGTAATTGTTTTCATGCTTTGACAGTCTGGTGTCAGTGACCGCGTCTTTATGAGGCTGACAGCACCACACTGGGGAAGCATTGGCTCTTGGCCTTCAGTAATAACTGAACTGTATGTGTGGGTGAAAAGAAATGAGCTGGCTGTGTAATGTTGATATGATGTGTCTTGAGAATTAGTTGGGTAAGGTGTACTTGTAGTTGAAGTAGCCTATATGGGTTTTAGATTAATCATATGGTATGGTAGAAATGTGACATGGCATGTTGTTAGAAAGCAAAGTAGTGAGTTCTTTAAAACAGCTGAAGTGAAGTAAAGTTTGCTTTGCTTTGTCAAATTAATAGTGAGTTGTCATAGAAGAAAGTAGTAACACAATTACTTGGTCAAGGAACAGTCTTTATTGTTTTCAATGTGCAAGTTGAAGTTTTATAGTGTGTGGCTACTAGTAAGAAGCATAGCTGTGAACTTTTGGTGTGCTGTTTTAGGCCATAAGGTTAAAAATCACTGTAATGTAGATTGGTAGTGAAGCTTTAGTTTTTTGTACTTGTATGTGTGCGGGTTGCAGAGGTGCCATCTGTAGGCATTTGACATGATGTAACGTCCTGAGGTAGTGTTGTGTACATCTTTGCGTACGGTCACGTGAATGTGTTTGACACGTGCCTTTGGCGCTGTGGCCTTTTTGGGGTGGCTGTGTTATAAATGAGGTATATGGCAGCTGTTCACATGTCAGTATGTGTAAGTAAGTTGAAGCATCTTATGAAGGCTGGATGTGCTGATGCTTGTAGCCTAGACGTGCAAGGTTGA